CGGGTCCCGTCCCGGTCCCCACACCCCGATACAAAGCTCCGGGCACCGGTGCGTCGTTGGCAGCTCTTTACCGTTCAGCACTGTGACACCTTTCCAATAAAATTTTGTTTTTAAAAAGTCAACATTTAAAAAAAAACACAACACAAACAACAAAACAATTATTCCCTTGGCTGAGTAGGGAGGCACGGGGCAGATCCCCTGCCCTGGCATGGACCACAGCCCCCCTGGGAGCACCCCCACGTCCCTCAGTTCATGAACTGGGTGTATCCCTCAGCCCCGGTGACGATGACGTCCATCCAGATGCGCATGGCCTCAGCCGAGGGGGCCACCATGTAGTAGAGGCGGTCGTGGGTTTTGACACAGAAGGTGAGCGCAGGGTGGGGGCTCTGGGGAGGAAAGGGGGACAGGGTCAGTGCTCACCCCTTCCAGTATGTGGCCCCCCTCACACTCCCGTCAAGCTCAGTACTGGGGTCCTGCCTTTGGGACCGCAAGGAGCTGGAGCCATGAGGGAACACTGACTGATCCAGACCATCCCCAGCACAAACTGTGCCCCAAGGCAGGGGGATAGTGAGTGCTGCAGGCTCCCAGCTGACACCAGGGCAGCAGCACTGCCCAGTGCTCACCTTTGCCGCACTGCGGAGGTGGTCGTAGTAAACCTCCTCAATAGCTTGGAAGTAGATAACACCCTTCAGCTTTGTCTCATGCTTATCTGTCCAAGAGAAGGAACCAGTGTCAACCACAGAGCTACGGGCGATGGCACGGGGAGGGGACAATGGCACAGAGACTCACCCACATAGTAGGAGAGGGTGCGCTTCATGCGGTCGAAGACAAACCAGCGCTTCTTCCAAGACTTGATCTTGCCACCCATCTTAACCAGGTAGCCCTTGCACATCTTCTCTGTTAGGATGACATGATAGCAGGTGTCCACGCTGTGGCCCGAGGACTCGATGTGCAGCCGCAGGTTGAAATCCTCCTTGCGGATGGGGAGGTATCGTGTCAGGGGACGAGCCTGCAAAAGCAACAGAGCCCTGCAAAGCTGTCGAGCAGTGGCAAGAGCCATGCTCCATGACAGGATATGGCTGGGGAGCTGGGCCTGCCTCACGGGCCAGGCTAAGAGAGGGGAAATTCTGCCCCACACCTGTGAGAAGTGCTTCTCTCGCAGCTTGACCTCCTTCTCCACCAGCTTCTGCCGCCGTGCGGTCTCATCCTGCAGCCGGCGTTCCAGCTGCTCCCGGCGCCGGCGCTCGTCCTCCCGCGCCTGCCGCCGCCGCTCCCTCTGCTGGCACACGCAGGCTCAGCCCTGGGGATAGGGACCCATGCCCTGACCGGCCACCCCGACGCTGCCTCTGCTCACCCGGGACTCCATCAGCCGCGACTTCTCCGCATGTGCCTCCTTCAGCATCTTCTCCATCTCCTCGATCTTCCCCACCTCCATCCCACTGGCACTGCAAGACACCCACAGCTGCCGTCCTTGCTGGAAGGACCTGGAGCCAGCAGCAGAGCCAGGAGAATGGGCTGTCCCTCCGGCCCCGGGGTTACCTGGAGATGGTGTCAGGTGAGCAGGCAGAGTTGTTGCCAGTGGAGATGCTGGTCTCCAAGCTGTCCGAGCTCTCCAGGCTGAGAGTGTCGTACGCGTGGTCCAGCTCCTCGGCACGGGGCCCATGGGGACGGTGATGGTGGAGAATGGAGTGATGCACAAGTGGTGGGAAGGCACCGGGGAAGGGGGGCTGCCCATGCAGGGCTTCCCACTGGGACTGAGCCTCGGCAGCTGCCTTCTGCTTCAGCTCCGCCAGCCGCCGCCGCTGCTCCTCGATCACCTGCTGACCTATGTGACAGGGAGAAGACAAGAACTGAGTGCACCCAGCTCTGAGCTACACAGGGCAGGCAGAAGAAGACACTGCAGGCACTGAAGGAGCTGGGGAGGGATGGCAGGTGTGGAGGTGGGAGCTGCCGTCGTTACTCCCTGACAAGCACGGCACGGCACGACAAGCAGCACGGGCCGGGCAGAAGGCGGGACCCCAGGTAGCCAAGGGGGGACAAGTGCCAGGCTGGTAGGAGCAGGCTGGGCAAAGCATCAGCAGGTCAGGGATGCTCAGAGCTGTCCCTGAGCAGAGGCCGAGAGGCACAGGGGAGTCCTGGGCTGGCCATGCCCTCCTGTGCCAGCAAACAGCCGTGCTGCTGCCTGGAGGCTGCTCTGGGCAGGCCAAGCCACCCCACGTCTCTACCTGGTGGATCACCTGGCTGCAAGGGCTCTGCTGGGAGCAACTCGGCTGGAGACGTGCCGTCGGGTGCAGGGGTCAGGAGGGAGAGAGGGGGGAGAGCGAGAGACTGTGAGAGAGGCACCACGTCCCACTGGGGCACCACAGCAGCCGCGCTCCATCAGCTGCTGGCAGTGGGGGAAATGTCTCCTAGAGCAGAGCCAGAGCTCACCCTTCTGCTGCAGGGCCAGCTGGCGCTTGGTCTCGATGTCCTGTAGCGTGGCCGCCAGGGTGCGGGGCAGGCTGCCCGCCGGGCTCGGGGGGCCCTAGGCAGGACAGCAGGTGATGAGCCATGGGGACAGGAGCTGGCACCGGGAGCCGCAGCCAGGCATCCGGGGCCACAAGATGCCCAGCTCCTTCCCAGCAGCCATACCTTGGGCGAGGGGCTGCGCCCCAGCACAGAGAGGTTGAGCTGTGAGGACGAGGGAGTCCCGCTCTTCATCCGAGGGGTGGGGGCACCAGCATCACCCTCTGTTTTGGCACGATAGACCTGGGAAAAGAGACGTGGAGGTGAGAGGGGCACAGGGGCTGCTAAAGCCCCCCTGGATGGATAGTTCTGCTGATGGCAGGGCTGAGCACCCCCTCCTCAGACCCTGCCCCTGTGTCAGTGCTGTCCTGGCAGCGGCACAGGCAAAGAAGACAGGAGCTGAATGCCCGGAATGTCCCTACACTGCCCTACTACTGCTGTGGCCAGCAGCCCCAAAGCCTGAGCCCAAGTGTCAGGGAGCTGAGATTACCTGGAGAGGTTTGTGAGAGGAGTGAGCTTTAGATGGAAGCAGAGGAGGGGAAGAAGGAGGAGAGACAGAGGAGGAGGATTCAAAGCCAGCCATGACCTCCTGGTACCACTTCTCTAAATCAAGCGCTGGGAGCGAGACGGGGCCCCCTGGCAGCTGCTGCTCCATCTGGAGAGAGACGCCGTGTGACAGAGGAGGGAGAAAGGAGGGAGGATGAAACATAGCAGGAGGGACAGACACACAGAGAGAGATCAGAGCATCCCCGCCTGCGCCGTCCTGAATGGGACTTGTAGATCCCCAGGGATCCTGCATGCTCCCTGGCTGGGTCCTGGCAGCTCCGGGACCCCTTTGCTGCTGACAGGGCCAGCAAAAGCTGATGCAGGCAGGCAGCAGAGCAGTGGGCAGGGCAGTGAGGGGCGGGCAGCCTGGCGAGCACCCAGCCCCATCCCCAGCTCACTCCATCCCATGCATCCCCATCATCTCCCCATCACCTCCTGGGGACAGTGTGGGGCAGAAGGGAGGGAAAAGGGGCACAAACCTCTGCAGAGACGGAGCGAGAAGAGAGAGATGGAAGAGGAGGAGGATGAGGAGCAGTGCAGCCTGAGGATGAAAGAGCTGGAGGGGCACAGCACAGCGGGGAAGCAGCAGTGGTGCAGAGGCCACTCACGATGCCTGAGAGCTGCTCAACAGTCACATACTGGGTAGAGAGAAGTGGATTAAACTGGGAGAAAAGGCTCCAAGCAAGGGCAAGGAGGCACAGGGCCATGAACAGAGAGCTCTGGTCCTCCAAGAAGGGTGCCAGGTTCCCAGGTGGAAGGGCGGCTGGAGTTGGGCACCAGGTCAGATCCCTGCCCCTGCTCTACACCCTCCTCACCTGGGACTGGCAGCCAGGACCAGGTTCCACTTGCAAAAGGCCACCCTCCCACCCCACAGCTGCCATCCCAGAAGGCAAAGCTGTCCAGAGCCAGTGGGAAGTGCTCTCTGGCAAGGATACCAGGTGGCTCCAGCCTCTGTTCTCTGCTCAGCTGCAGCCCAACCAGATCCCCAGCCCAAGGGGGAGGTAGACTCTGAGCACAGGGCTCACAGGGAAGCCCCAACATCCACAACATCCTCACGAGGATGCAGGGGGAAACCCACAGGAGCAAACCCGAGCACGCTCTGGGGCAGGTACCTCATCAGCTGCAGGGGGCACAGCAAGCAAGAAAGAGTGCTGAGCAGCAGCAGCGGCAGCAGCAGAAGCTTTAGTGTCCAGGCTGGGGCCATGAGCATGGCTGCAGAACCTGAAAACGTCAGACAGCCTCATGTACTCCTAGAAATCCATGGCGGAGAAGGAGGAGAGTTAGAGCCATGCACTGGCATTGCTGACTGCAAAGCAGGAGCCAATCTCCCCACGCATGTGTGCCCCACGGCCACCTGCCCCACCTGGCTGATCCTTGCACAGCACTGAGCTGCACTCTCGCCTCGGGTGCAGCTCTGCTGGTGCCAGTGGGGGCTGAGGGCCCAGTTGCCATCAGCTGTTCCCATCACCCAGATCTTGGTGTGCCCCACAGTCCCCGGCCATAAGCCTTCTTGGGTACGACAGCACCAGCTGAGGCACCTCAAGATGCCCTGAGACAGCTTAAAATCCACTTTCCTTTCTCAACTGAACATGCTAAAGACAGGGATTTGCTCTTGTTTTGGGAAAGCTAGGCTAGCAGGACCCTAGAGGATGCTGTCAGGAGCAAGGGAGAAGTGTGGGGATACCTGTGCCACGCCATCAAGGGCAGCAGCAGGACCCGGGATGCCCAGCAGGCTCAGGAGAGCACCTGAAATTTGGGTCTGAGCATTAATAAGCACCGGAAGTAAATAAGGAACACTGCAGCTAGGCTGCTGTGGGGATGCTCTACTCCCAAAAGCCAGATTAGTCTCTGTGAGGGGCAAGTGAGCAAGCACATGCAGTTAGTCCAGTTACCTCTTGTGCCTTGGGGTAGAAGCGGGCAGCAGGAGAAGCAGAGGCAGATGCTGCTGACAGGGGGCTCAGGGGCTGAGTTCCCTCCACCATCTCATAGGGTTCTGAGATATGGAGGGTCTCCTGTTGGGGGGCAAAGACCAGGTAGGCAAGGGAAGCATGGGCACCAGCAGCCCCATGGCGGGCAGGTGCAGAGGACTCTGTCATCCTGTCCTTCTCTGTGGTCCCCGAGGGCATTGTGTCTCCAGCTCCCTGTTCACAGCCATGAGCCAGGCAGCTGGGCAATCTAATCCCACTGAAAAGCCTTTGGACATGAACTGGAAAAGTCCACCATACCAGCAGCTGCACAGCTCCACACTCTCCAGCAAAGATAAGACCCCAGGCTTATCCCTACTGCTCCCACGACCCCCTTCTCCCCACTCACCTCTCTGAGAGCCGAGGACATCTTGGGGAAGCTCCTGCCGCCTGTGATGAGCTGGTATCGCCTCTCCAGAGACACGAGCTTCTCTTTCTCCTGAGCATGGGACAACAGGGAGATCAGAGGCAGCTTATGGCTGCTACCACCCCCACCCACAACTGCTGTGTTACCTTCTGCAGGAGCTGCAGAATGCTGTGCCTCTCCCTGGCCAGGCGCTCAGCCTCCTGTGCACTCTGCAGCCGGACCTGGGCAGACTGTGCCTCCAGGGCTGCCACCAGCTCCTGGGGAGAAGGCAGGAGATGAGCTGGCCACCAGACAGCCAAGGGGGCTCAGCAAGGGCTTGGGGGGCTCAGCCCAGACCCACTGTCCCCTCCATCCCCACCTTCCTGCGGGCAATGCTGCGATGGCACTCAGCCCGGCTCTGTAGCAGTTGCTGGCCCCGTGCCTCCCGCTCCTCCTCAAGGCGGCTCTCCCGCTCCAGCTGCTGGAATTCCAGGTCCTCAAAGAGCTTGGCCTCAGTCTCCAGCGCCTCTGCCTCCTTTGGAGAGATACAGGCACAATGGGTCAATCCCTCCAGACCAGCACCTCTGCGTCCCATAGCAAAACCTCCCACCATGCCCCCAAGTCCTGCCGGTGCTGGCCAGGAATGGGAACCCATGCCAAAGCCTGTCCTGGTGTCCTGTGAGGACGGGCAGGCAGCATTCTCTACACCTCAGTTCCAGCGACACAGACACCAGCAACCTCCAGAGAAAACGAGACACTGGCCAACTCAGAGCTGTCACTCTCCTGAGCCCTTGGAGACCCCATCAAACCACATCCTGGCCAGCACTGTGCCCTGGTGGGTGGCAAAATACCATGTTCTGGCATAACCACCAAGACACTGCCCCCGCCACCCAGCTGAGGGGCAGCAGAGCCCCCACAGATGAGCCTGCACATCCTCCAGCCACCCAGCACTAACAGCAACCCCAAGCAGCACTTGGCTCAGGTCCTGCACCACTGTCACCAATAGCACTGGTGTCAGCCTGCTCCAGGAACAGGGCACCCATCGCTCACATGGCACAGCATGGCCTGGAGGCTACTGAGGGCTCCCCTACCACAGGACTGCCCCATTGCCATCCCTGCATGCCAGGACCCACATCCAGTGTGGGTCACCGTGGCCGTGAGAGCTGGGCAGGCGCTGTCCACAGGCTGGGGAATGTTGGCCACCACCAGAAAATACCAGATAATGCAGAAAAAATGCTGCAGACCGGCGGTAAAGTAAAGCGACGGCACCATGTCAATAAACGCTTGAAAGAATGAGCTGGAAGCAGAGGCAGGAGGACATGGTGGTCCCCAGGCTACCGAGCCAGCCCCACACCCTGGGCCAGTGGCAAGCTTACCAGGAGGGCGGTGGCCGGTGCCGGCCGCCTCCAGCCCGGGTGCGGCGCTCCCAGTGCGGCCCCAGCCAGCAGGGAACAGCTGGCCTGAGCTGGAGCAGGGGGAGGTGGGCCACGGTCCGGGAGGGGTAGGGGGAGACACTGACCCTTCGCATCTGCTCCCGTAACTGCTCCCGCAATGACTCGGGGCACTTATCAAGGTGGGTCTTCGACTCATGGTAAAGCGCCCGCAGGTGCTCTAACTCCTTCCTTTCAGCATCAACTTTTGCCCTTTCCTGAATCAGGGGAGAATGAGACAAAACAAAACAAAACAAAACAAAAAGAGAGAAAACACACTTCTCAAATCGGCGCCATGCAGAAGCTGCAGTTAGAGAGGGGCTCAGCAGGGAAGAAAGGGGGCTCATGGGAAGGAATATTACTACATCTACTGGGGGGTGTTGAGACCAGTAGCCACCGGACCCAGGTGTTAGAGTGGTTACTGCCAGCCCTTGACCTCAGCCTCATGTTTCCATGCCCAAGGCCCACTTACGGGCAGTGAAAGACATTTGCTCACAGCATGGAGAAAGCCAGCCCAGTCTTGCAAACCTACTGCAAGAAACCCCACTCTGAAGCTGCAGCAGCAGGGAGACACAGGGATCCCCGCAAAGGGACACAGGGAGGACACATGGAGGGCAGGATGGTGCTAGAACAGATGTCAGAAGTGACGTCAGACTTTAGAGCAGACACCATTAGTGAAGTTAATGCAGGGTGGTTAGAAAAGCGGGTGGTTAGGTCAGCAGAGAGATTCGTGGGGTTCCCTGTGCTTCTCTCCTGGCTCTGCCCCTGGCTAGAGAAGATGTCTGCAAAGTGCTGGAGGACCAGAACCAGAACAAAACCCCCAAATGTTGCAGGGACACAGCTGTCAGCTCTGCCCAGCCATGGGCAACCAACCAGCTCAAGGACCCCAGCCATTAGGCCAGCCAGACCCCCAGGGACCTAGGCAAAGGCTGCAGGGAATGCTGGCCGCAGGCAGCAGAGAGTCAGGTGCTGGTGGTTCTCCCACCACCAAGCAGCTTGCCCAGGGCCATGTCACATTGCCCACAAAGAGAGAGCTGGCAACCAGCAGCCAGGACAAATGTGTCACTTGGGCCATGGTGGGTGGACCATGGCACCAACTGCATCAGCGACGAGTCCAGGGGAAGGGGTCTGGGATCCCCTCCTCAGCCACCGAGCCAAGTGAAACACCGCAGTGAATCCCCAGCCAACTCCAGCAAGATGGATACTACAGCAACAGCTGCCATCACACGCAAAGACGCAGAGGGACTTGCCACAGGACACAGCCCCAGCAAAGGCAAGGAGCACCAAGGCTCCCACCCTGTGTGAGTGCTGCCCACTGCAGGCAGCAGCCATTGGGCAAAGACCCACATCACAGAACCTGCCACCATGATATAAAGGGGCCGAAACACTGCCCAAGTGTCAGCCCTACTCTGCTCCATCCCAGGCAGATGGATGGACGGATAGATGGACAGACAGAACCCTCATGATGCAAACCCAACTGGGTGCTCCTGGATGCCTCTGCAGAGCCCAGGAGAGGAGAATGTGTCCCCAGAGCACCACAGCACCAGATGCAAACACCAGGATGGGAATGGCACAGACCACAGTGGGGAGTCCAGAGCCACTCACCTTGTCCCGCTCCTTCCGGATGCTGGTGTCCAGGCTGGAGAGCTTCTCCTGCACCTCATGATGCAAACCCAACTGGGTGCTCCTGGATGCCTCTGCAGAGCCCAGGAGAGGAGAATGTGTCCCCAGAGCACCACAGCACCAGATGCAAACACCAGGATGGGAATGGCACAGACCACAGTGGGGAGTCCAGAGCCACTCACCTTGTCCCGCTCCTTCCGGATGCTGGTGTCCAGGCTGGAGAGCTTCTCCTGCAACTGCTGGGCCACCTCCTGCTCCCCCCGCAGCCGCAGCACCTCGGCCTCCCGCTCACCCTGCAGTAGTGCCTGCTCCATCTCTGCCTGGTGGCAGCAGCAGCATCAGGATGGCTGCCCTGGCCAGATCCGGCTCCTGCCCATTAACATGGACAAGTGACACATCCCCTTACCTCTCGTGATGTCTCCTGTAGCTGCTGCTCCAGCTCCTTGAGGCGACCCTTCAACTGGTCAAGGTGGCCGAGGACCCCGGCACGCTCCTCCTCCAGCCGCTGAGCCTCCTTGGCCCGCGGACCTGCCAGCTCCTCATGCTGCAGAGAGGGCAGGTCAGCACAGTGTGGCACAGTGTGCCATGGCACAGCATAGCACGGCACAGCACAGCCGTCCCCTCACCTCGTGGTGGGTGCTCTCGGTGCTGCTGCACTCCTCCTTCAGGTTCTCCTCATCCGACCGCTCCAGGCTCTCCCTCTGCCGCAGCTCCTTGGCCGTACGGCCCAGAGCCATGGCACCACCAGGCACCTGCCGGCCACCATCCACATCACCAGCCAGGAGCTGCTGCAGGTCATCTGGCTCACTGCCCTCTGTCTTGGTGTACTCGGCACAGAGGTTCAGGATGGTCTCCAGCCGCTGTCGCTCCTACGGGGAAGAATGGTCAGTGTGGTGCCTGTCCCAGCGCAGGGCCTGTGCTGAGGGGAGGTGCCGAGATGCAGGCTCCTTGTCCTGCCTGCATGCTGGGATGGGCTGGGAACACTGCAAAGCCCAATGCAGCCTGCCCTGACCCCAGAGCCAGGCATGAGAAGAGCTGGGGGCTGGAGACAGGCTAATTAGAGGCGGCAGTGCTGGCCACCTTCACTATTTCCAGGCAGTGACTCAGGCACCGGCGTGAGTCAGGACTGAGCAAACAGGGCTCCAGCAGATGCACAGGGCAAACCCCACCCAGGCAGCTGCTGGCTCCATAAAGCTCCATCCGCCCTAAATATAGACACAGTGCCCACAAAGCTGCGACACTGTCACCAGCCAACACAGCCAGACAAGACGTGGATGGTTTTGCAAAGCTGGGAGCACCACAATTTCAGCGGGTTTCCCCAGGCTGCTGCGAGCTGGGGGCTTTGTGCTGCAGAGAGCTGCAGCTCAATGACGGCTGCTCCAGGCCGTAATCCCCCCA